AACTCTTTTGTGTGTGAACATCCCATTCCCACTTCAAACTATCTCAATGCAGTAGTGTATTTAAATTGGTAGACGCTTAAAATAACGATTTACTTATTCGATTATCGTTTAAATTTTAATTCTTACTCCAACCATCCTACTGGACTTGTCAAGCACATGCCTTCTTACCCGGGAGAACTCATTTTTCATTGTTCATTGTTTCGTTATGTTCAATAGCTTTTAAAATGCGGACAGGAAATTTACATGATATAACCATTACAATCGATCTCTCACCTTTCAGGTTACCAATAGTTGTTTCCACATAACCTGGATCAACCGTCATGATGGAAACATTGTGTTCTTTCATTAGTGTGTGTTATGGTGTCACACGGTGGATCGACAGCAATAAACAGATTCCAATTAGACAATTACAAGGTGAAATCACATTGCACGGGACCGTGGCGGTTATTTTTCACAAAATTATATGCTTTATTCTTAAGGCGGGAGCTAGAACGCCGGTCTTTCAAGGAGGCAATTTCCGATTTCAGCTTAGGGCCAACTGGGAGGCCTTGAAATGGATCAGTGCTTTATAGCGGGTATAAAGGCACATGTTTAACAAGTCCTGTAGGATGATTGGAGTAAAAGTGACAAAATAAAATCTGTCGTTAAAATAACGCGCAAGATACGTGACACATCAAGAGGTTTGGAATAGCAAATGTGCGAGTATTCCTACCCGGTCTTCAAGAGGATTATGATACTTTCCACTGTTTGTTCTACAGTCATGTTATCAGCTGGTTGTCTTGGACTAACTCGCAAACTGTAAATATGTCAAGATATCGTCAATGCGTTTTTTTGTATAGTGATAATGTGGGGACATTAATTACATGCAAAGGGAGACAGTTCCATGGCCGTGACACTCGGGGGAAAGGACATTTCCTTGACATTCCAGCCATTAGTGCTGCGTGGCTAGCTTAAGCTGATGACCCGTTAGGGATGCGTTTTTGCTGAATTACAAACGATGGCGATTAGTGTGGTTTGGATGTTTTAATATATTACACATCATCCTGAGATCGCCCGGTATACAAAGATAACGTTCGCTGTACATTTCTAGGGTTTTCAACCTTTGTTAGTTGGGAATGTGTGACAGACCTTCAACTTTCTTTGTCATCGTGTACTGGGCAATATCGACCTCGGTAAGGTTGGGCTTCCGCCAGGGTTGCCACACTTGGATAGGGTTTTACGCGTGCGGTCTCACGTACGCACTAAGCATTTCCGGAAAAAGGGAGGCCTTGAACTTCTCCAACACTGAAGAAGACCGAGGTGCTGCTTTGTTTTCTTTGACGCTTTATCGTTCTGCCTTATACAACCAAGATCATCGTGTACGAGCACGTCGAGACGGCGCTCATGAGAAGTGCGTTGTATAATTTTTGACCCCAGCCGATGGTCGTGAGTACTCTGATGGCGTATGCTCAAAACGATGAACTGTCACGTTGAACTGTAACATATTCTCCATGGACAAGGTGTATGTCCTATCCAGATAATCTTGCAGAGCTGTGTGTCCCTTCATTGTAGTTATATCAAACCATATCTAGTTTTCAGCGAATATTAGACAATTTGGAGATAACACTTTCTCAAGGTCATTTAAGAAAACAATGTACAGACGGGGCCCGATTACTGAACTCGATGGCACGCCTCACTGTATTTCGGTTGGTTCGGGTAGAGTTTTGCTAACTCTTACATTCAGATGGCGCTGAATGAGGAAGTTATCTATCCAGCCCAGAAAGGCTTCCTCGGTTCCACAGTTTTTAGTCTTGGCTATGCAATTAGCTTTGAGATTGATTACACGCAACCTTATTAGAGGAGGTAGGGCTTTACATGCCCTATAAAGCATATCCTTATCTTCCAAAGAAATGGTCTCTAATGTTTAATTATCAACTGCATCTTAGCTGTGGAATATCTTTGAATAACGCATCCCGTTGAGGCTTGGTCTATGGAAGCGGTTTCGGAAACCAAGAACTGTCTGGAGATATGGCAATGAACTCCCTAAGTTACTCACTCAAAGGACTAGGCCAAGGGGATCAATAAGGGAGGTGGTCAAAATACGGGGGTTGTTAACAAAAATTTAGGCTACCTAACTATCCTATTATACGTCGCGTTACGAATGCATTAAATGGGCTCTTACACTATGCCAAAAATAGTTAAGTTTTACAGTATTATTAGAACTAGTGTGACTAGAACACAAAACGCAGTGTGATGCTCTCAAATTTTGAGCATTTTTCTAAAATGCTGTCTTTGTATGTTTCTTTCTCTTATCACAAAGATAACTGGACAGGTTGGTTTAGAACTGGTTAATCGGCGGTTAGAGATACAATCCAATTCCTGATTACGATCCGTGCAATAAATGTGCACAAGTTTCAAACGGTAAACCTGATGCGTGCCTGTATATGTAGGTGGGTATTGAAACATTTCACACAAATACGCTGACGGGCATTCCGTGGACACCGATCGGTGTAGAGCACACCGTACGTGGCAAAAATGCATGAAGGGTTTGACAAAAGCACACACGCACTTACACACGCAGGGAACATACTGCACCGTCAAACTTCCGCGGACCCGTAAACTACAGTGCTTGTGGATCAGGAAAACCTACTATGTCCGGAATAACGGCAGCCGGCCAGTTCGACCTTCTGGGTCTCGTCAGTGGTGCGCTTTCCTCGGACCCCTGCCGGCTTCCAACCGCATGACTTCCGGATGCCCACAGCTCGTGCCACTCAGCCATGGGTGCCATTGGCGGACCTGCATAGCTGACGATTGACCACAACATACAGCGGCGGAGAGCTGACTGCGAATTACTACAGCAACACTTACGCCTAAATCACCACTACCCACTAGTAATCATACATCCATCCGTATTGTTTCTAAGTGATGTGATGTATACAGTCGCCATGATGAAAGTCGTGGTTCTAGTACCAAGCATTATCCTCTGCGCAGTTCATAACTGGAATGGCAGTCGAGGATAGCCGCACTATAGCATAGTCAACTGTCAGTCATTCAGCTCCTCCACCATCACCCATGCCTCAGTTGCGCAGGCTGATGTCTTCCGGAACTCATGGGATCGGAACTCGACAGGGGTACGAAGAACGCGCAAGACTGACTAAACCCAAGACGTTGAAAGCGCACTCCGGCGCGTTTCCAAACGTGGGAGAGCCTGTCTGACTGAGTGCTAGATGTGACGAACTACATCTAAAATTACACCAAAATCCCACTAATCATTAAAAGCTAATACGTTGCAAAATCCCGCCACATACACATAATTATTTGCACAAACGAGTTTTCAATGACTATTGCACAGTAAAACTTCACATGGTAGCTATCGAGATTACTTTATAGTGACCGTTATATCCCAAATGATCAACCTACAACCTACAGAGGTGCTCGGTATACAGAAGATCGGCTCTATAGAATTTCCATGGTCCAAGCTACAAGAAAACGTTTAACTTAGTGAGGTGATCAGGATATAGAGGTGGTCAAATTTGAAGGCCTTACTATAGTCACCTGGATCATTGTGGCCATGTTTAGGTATTGTTGGTTGTGCAGTATTCAGTGAATTGCTTCGGATTACTTTTATCCACATGGCCATTAGATATCCAGTTACTACCTTCTTAACCACCTTTACCATTAAGTAAATAAATAAATGAATTTTATTCTCCTTAGGTTTGAGACACACATCGATAGGCATGAGCATAGGGTTGCAGCACTGATAAGGTGTCAGCCACAACGCATGTATAGGTAATATAAAGTGTAAAAATGTTGTACAGGATCTGTAAAAGTAGTTAGAAATTAGTATTTAACAAGGTTGCAATGTCGATCATGTGTTTGGATTCGTCAGGGTTGGGAATACTTTGTGGAATAGTGAACACTATGGAAATATTGGTTTAAGAAGCAGAAGAATCGTGAGAGAAGGATTGGACGCACGGACATTGTAAAGTTTGACTGCTTTCGGTCTATTGGTCCCAAGGTAGCATTGGAATTTGCATTATAACTCTTGATTTTGTTTAGTCGCTTATCCAAAGTTAGCCGCAGCTCTATTTTGACGCCGAAAATTACTGTCCGTTTGTGCCATCAGAAATCGTGCCCCAACCACAGCCTTCATGGAAAGACGCCGATCGAATCGGTCGGCACGTTATTGCTCAACTGCGCGTAACCACCAACACCCCAATGGGACTGTTTTCGCTCCGAACTCTAACGAAGTTCGACACTGCATCGCACACTGGTAAACTTAGCTTTAGATAGGTAAAACTTAGCGGTTAACAAACGCACACTTTCATTACTTTGTTTCTGCCCACTGCTCTGCACGATCTTGTCTTCAGGCATTCTGTGATGTCTTTTGTCACAGACACTTGCTGACATGGTTAGGATCTGACTTCAGTGGCGTTTGTGTTGTGAGTGGCTTTGTCCATCCCACCCCGCTTAGCTTCCGCTCTAACCGCGATCTCATTTCTTAGTATAATACAACTATGGTAAATATTTTCTTTTGCTGCTGGTAGCTTTCCTGAACGATGCCCACCCGTTATTGGTAGCTCAGCTGGCGTGCAGCTATTGTATGTTCTTTCGCTTTGCTTTGCGTATGTACTGAGGTACAGTAGCTGAGGGGCTTTCCATCTCTATCTGAGGTGTATAATTAAGATGACTTGTCACCGACAAATGCTATTCACCGCTTATTCAAATGGACCATCTTTGTTATTCCATTCCCAGGTTTTATGTTATATTTTTCTTGTCGTCACTTCTGACACCAATAGATATTTTCGCCTTACCTACTTGTTGCAAATAGTCAGCGTACATGCACACCCCGAATACATTTTTATGCTGCCATCTGCGAGAGTTTAAACAAGAAAATTGCCTACATAAATGCAGTTCGAGCAGTTCGGGTTTTCCTTTACTACAATTGCGTTCGTAATTGAAACACCTGGTGGCTAAATGATACCCTAGTATCATCGGTACACATTCTGCCCTATCTTCAGATAGATTCAGAAAATTTCCTCGTGAGTTTTGATCGTCTCTGCTCCAATGAACACATCGACAGTGAGAACTTACAAGAACTCAAGGTCACTGAACTGCTATCTTACTTGGACTTATATCGTCATTCCATTCATCGTGATGACTACGTCCTTGTAACTTGGTCGGCACTGATATCCGACGACAGTGAACGTTTGCAGTCCGATCTGTCTGATGGTTTTCTGGAGCCTTTCATGCTAGCTAAGGTGATTTCAGGATCAGAATCAAGAAACTCCACAAATAGTGAGTGTTAAACTTAAAATATGTTGATATTCCACAACAAAAGAGTTACCATATGCGGACAGCTATACAGTCTTAGCCATCTTGTTGTGTTAAATTACTGAATACTCAGTAGTTAGGGCAAAACATCACTGACAAGAGTACATTCTCATTTCAAACTCCATTTATACGACAGTGCAGTTACACCTGTAAGCGCCCGAAACGACAACTCCTTTATCTCTTCGCTATCTTTTTTTATCACACTAAACACCCTACCGGCCATGTCCAGCACCTGTTTTTTTTACCCGTTATAAATCATTGTTCATTGTTCATGTAATCGTAAGTCAACTGACAAAGTGGTAAACGCAATGTGCTGTGGCGTATATCGGTTGGGTAAGCTTGACCAGGAAATTACCAAAGCCTCCGGTCGAGCTTACCCAACCCATCTACGCCACAACACATTGCGTTTACCACTTTGTCTGTGGCTGCGGAAGCAGTTACATCGGCAGAACGAATCGGTATCTGCGTAAGCGGGTCGGAGAGCACATTTCCAAGTGGGTTGATGCCGTCACGAAAGGTCAAACACGAAGACAGACGTTGAGCTTCAATATGTCGACCTCATCGATAACTAAGCACTTACTGGGCACAGGTCGTCAAGTTGACTCGTACGTGGCGTTTATTATTATCTACCGCAATATGAATGCCAAACTACTCATGTTCGCTGAGGCCGTAGCCAGTAATCGCACCCACACTGACCTGGGTGTGCACAAACTCCTGACTGTCACCCGCAAGCTTCCTCTTGGGGATCGTAACATTCGTTTCATAACTTGTGATGCTGCTGGGATCTATGACGGTATGTGTCTACTTATTCAACATTCAAACTTTGATTCCCTTTCATTGTTGATCAGTTAAAATGTTGCTCGTTTCATCAGAAAGCACGAAATGATATCATCTTGCAACATCCATCTTCTCATTTTATTGTTTAGGAAGAGGTTAGTTGCCTTTAATGTCCGTTATGCTTCCTGAATACCCATTCGTGAGATTTACAATTGCATAATACGCAGGTGGGAACGGTTTGCCCAACAGACTGGCCGGAACAGCTTTGTCTGCTAGCCTTCCACGGTATTGCAGGCCGCATTTAGGAGATAGATAAGAACAATGAATGAAATTCAAAGATGACTAACAACTATCAAAAAATAGATGGATAGAGGGGGAAACACAACGAGCAAGCAGACAGAATGCCTTGTGTATAAATTGGTAATAAGTGCGGAGGAAGCAACTGAAAGTTAGTAAAATGAATAAAACGAATAAAAATAGCTACTAATGGGAAAGCATACTGTTTGCATTGTGCATGGATTAGTTACCTTTAATCGAAGTTTTTAAATGCCAGTCAATTATTCCTCCTCACTAGATCACGCTAGTTATATCTGAGGTACACAATCTCAGTACGCAGACTAAACTGATAAAGAACTTGTCGGTGCGGCGGCCATCGTTTGGTGCACAATACGGCTCAAAACTAGTGGGTGCAGTATGATATTGTTATTTGTAAGTGAAATTCATTTGATTGTCTACACCATTAGTATAGTCAAACAGGGGGCTCGATTCCAAGGTAAATACTCTAGTCAGCTGTGGAACCGTTAGCTGTGGACGACACACCTACTGTGGGAGCGCATAATAATGCTTCCTATTCACGCTGTTTCAGTTAACTGCGGTAGTTGGAGAATACAAGGCTCATATTTGTGTCTTTCAATGCAAACGGTCGGGTTCAGACGAACAGCAAAAGTTAGGAATATTAATATGCTGACAAAAAGACGCAGAAGTATAGTACCTTCACTATTTACTTTTCGTAAATTTGTACTTCATATTGTATACACAATGTGCACGGCACATCGAGGTAATTTGGGCGCGAAACGTAATGCTTCACTCACTGCATGGTCGTTACTTTTGCCTAAAAATTGACTACTCGTTAGTAGCAATCCACTTTCTGGTATTGTAATCCGTTTATTAGGAGCGACGCACCAACGCAATTATTTTTCAGCCGAGTCGATAGCCATTTCATCTGTGAGATCCCGTGCCACCGTTTCCACCGACAAACTCGTAAGGCTAAAGTTGTGAGTTCTAGTCCTTCATACTGAGGATGGAATGTGCACTGTCGGCTAATCCCTACGGGAGGAAACGACTGCCCATTCCTTCCCTGGATGTTACCCTCACATTAGCGCTTTCTTAATCAGACAAACCGTTGCCCATTCACTTTAAGCATTTCGTTATATAAACTATTGGTAGCCATTTTGCAGTGCTACATTCGCACGATAGGAATGAATATGCAAAAATAACGGTGGCAACTTGTCCAGATTAATGGAGACCAGTTACGAAATTGCCCGTTTTTACTACTCCTATTGTAATATTCCTCCGGTCCGGCGTTCCAAGTTCTTCCGTGTCCAAATAGTACGACGGGCCGTAATAGACTCTTAGAGCTGCAACACAAAATAGACACCTCGTAGACGGATGATGCTCAACCGCCTAGTAAGAGGCCGATATTAGGGAGGCAGCTAAAGAAGCACGGAAGTGGGAAGGAAAAGTGCGGGTGAGGACTGGGAGGGTAAGACTAACAGAAAGCAAAACTCATTGATCTCTTACCTGTTAACGTGTTACTGGGGCGCCCGTGGACCGGCTGCATTATCTCCCTTTTTAGTAGGGACTGTTCTCAGCGCGCATAATGACCCACACCGGTAGCAAGTGGCATTAAGCGCGGTATATAAGGCTCTGGAGATTCAGCGACAAGCAGTAGTCTAGCAAAAAATATAATTATTACCGCAATCTAATAACCTCACTTTAACGGATAACTTTACCGTTTGTAACCCAATCACATACTTAAATGGATGTTGTATTTCTAGTCGTATATGTGTGCGGTCGAATGGGAGAGCCGCCTATAGTGACTGTGGGTGCAGAAGTTTTGGGGGCTCTCTGTGTGTGCAACGCTGACCAGCCCCACTGGCACTAGTCGACCATCCAAAGGGTTTCTGGACACTTGTGACAGTCTAATTGAATATAGCTGATATTAACCTTCTCAAACATCTCTTTGCGTGTGGTTGAGTGGATTCGTATGTCTTAATCCCCCCCTCATTGTTTCATTTAGTGTGATGTCTTCGCGGCCCGTCTGTTAATAGGATGTACCCCAAACTTGAATATTAGTTACTCCGCGATGAAACATGGACGGAATGCAAGTGCATTCGATCCATCTATCCGTGCATAAAATAAGAAACGGGCTGCAACTTACTTATCTGCACTCCAGTGAAGTAAGCAAGTTCTTAATTCCAATTCCTCACTCTCTAGTCAGATGGGAATTTCCTTTAACTTCCAATGGATCATTGCAAAGCAGACGAAACTGACGCACCATGAAATGCAACCACTTACACAACATTTAACGTGGGTTGTAGTTGAGTAACTACAAAATTTAATCCAGTTTCGAGTGCATGGGAAGAATTATCCTGACGCGCTTGTCACCAAGGCTAGTTAGTGCTGGATGTTAATTGACACGGCCCACTGAACTGAGTGACAACACCAACTACGGTGCCTATCGTGACCGAATCAAGTCACACAGCGTAGTCACGATTTAATGCCTGAGCAGTGCTCTCCACGCCTGCTTGAACCAACTACGCTAAGCAACTTCTCGCTCTATGCATCGGGCATTAGCGATTGTTCTAAATATGTGCACTTGCAGGTTCAGTGTACATACGTCCCACAAAAACCATTTTTGTTCCGCTGCCTCCGTAATGCCTGTTTGCATTTTATAAAATTGTGGTTTTTCAATACGATTTATTATTAGCTCTCTTGTGGCAGAAATGCATATCGCTGCTTTTTACTCCGGATATTTATTTGTTTTCCTCTCACCGAAAATGGAGTATTCGTGTTTGAATTTTTAAACTTTCACAATAAACATCATCAATGTTCCTCACAAACCAGATTCATGCATCTGTCGATCGGCGTACTGTGTACTTGGCTTGTAGATCATGACAGTCCGACACTGTCCCCGGTGACCAAGTGGCAAACCCCGCTGACGATCACGGGTCCGAATCTTGATGGATCCGGTACATGTGCACTACTGATAATGCCCCACAGGTTGAAACTGCAGTCTAAGGCTTCTCTGAGCACGTGTAGAACTACCTGATCTGAAACCTGCTGCGGGAAAATCTCGATTAACATGTGATTTTTGAGCTCATCCATCCATTACAAAGTGGTTGGCGTCCCACCATTCCTAAACTACTGAAGTCATCCACGTCATATAATCTATTCGGTGCGGCGATACTGTGCACCCAAGAAGCTTATTTTAATTGGCAGTTAGAATTGTATGCACTGCTCCATCATCTGACTTTTGATTTTAGGAATGCTGAGTAATGCAGTGTTAAGAAAGCAAAACATAAAATATCTAACAACCCCTCCAACAACCATAAGGAACTTTAAGAAAAATCGGTCTCTTGTTAACAAGCTAACTGCTCTTTCTATTTTCCTGCAAATTTTAAAGATGAAGAAGGCACAGATTTACCATGCGTTGTTAGTTAAGAATAGTTTTGTCATGTATTTTCGCGAAATAATCACCCAGAAGGGTCTTGTGTAGTAAACCACATTTTGTTTCGGTTGTGCGCTCCAGCAAGTCACTTTAGACATCCACAACTCGCCAATGGAAGCATAACGAGTAGGCACCTCAATTTAAGCTTACTTTCGTGCCCGAGTGTGTGACCTGATTTTCGTAGTCGGAGCGACGGCGCAAGTAGGAGGAAGTCACCGCTATGTAAAATACGGCGGGAGGCTACGAAATCAATGAGCTTTTGACAATATGACGACGATGACGACTGACGTGCCCCAATAAGGCGAAACGCGCGTCTGGTGCTTTTCCGGGTTGGTAGCTTACCTATGCGGCTTGGAATCTAATTGCGATGAACCAACTTGAAGCATACGGAAATCCGTCTACTCATTCGTCATAAGAGAGAGAGTGTTAGGTCCTAGTCTCTGGACCAATCCTCAAA